TGCAAACTGTTTAGGTTCCAGTATTTACTTTACGAGTGCCCGTGGTCTCCTCTCCCATTCTTGAGAGAGTGCTAGACCAAGAACCTGAAGAAACATCCTCTCAGGGATGCTGAGGGCTCCCCTGAGCCCCAGAACTCCAACAAAACTACCCCTCACAATACCTCTCAGAACACTGTAAGGCAAAAGTATGCACAAGACCAAAAGGCAAAGTTTATTAAAATCTGATCAAAATCAGCCAGGTGCACTGGCTCATGCGTGTAATCCCAGCACTTTGGGAGGCCAAGGTGGGTGGACCACCTAAGGTCAGGAGTTCTAGACCAGCCTGGCCAACATAGTATAACTCCATCTCTACTAAAAACACAAAAATTAGCTGGGTGTGGTGGCAGATACCTATAATCCCAGCTACTTGGGAGGCTGAGGCAGGAGAATCGCTTGAACCCCAGAGGCAGAGGTTGCAGTGAGCCAAGATTGTGCCACTGCATTCCAGCCTGGTGGATAACTGTGAGACTGAGTCTTAAAAAATAAATACGGCCGAGTGCAGTGGCTCACGCCTATAATCCTAGCATTTTGGGAGTCCATGGCAGGCGGATCATGAGGTCAGGAGTTCAAGACCAGCCTGGCCAATATGGCAAAATCCCATCTCTACTAAAAATACAAAAATTAGGCATGGTGGCGGACACCTGTAATCCCAGCTACTTGGGAGACTGAGGCAGGAGAATCGCTTGAACCCGGGAAGTAGAGGTTGCAGTGAGCCAGCATCATGCCATTGTACTCCAGCCTGGGCAACAGAGCGAGACTCCATCTCAAAAATAATATTAATTAAGCAAATAAAATAAAATCAGATCAAAATCAACTGTAGACTCTGAATGGAGGCCTCTGCTACAAGATTCTTCGAGTATAGACTCCAGCATCTAATCTGGCTACCCCTTCTGGCTTTGGGCTCCATTTCTCTCTATGGGAGAAGGGTTCCCATAATGTGTTGCTGTGACCAAGACGAGAGGAGTGGAACATTTCAGCAGCACTGAAAAGGAAACACAGACATTGGAGTGATAGTCTAAAGGACACGAGAAATACTCCACAGCAGGAACCGAAAAGAGCAAGATGAATTATAAAATGGGTAAACCTCTGGATTTCTTACACTGAGCGAGACAGGGAAGTTAAAATTAGAAAAGAGAAAGAAACTGCTGGCAGGTAAACACAGCCACAGAAAAGTTCCAGAGACAATGAAGGGAGAATGTGTGATTGTTAGAAACTGAGGCAGTGTTAATGGGCCACAGTCTTCAGGATGAGAAAAACTATAACACAGCTGACAGTAAAACAAAAGACACCAACACACACAATGCTTCTCGAATTCCCCACTTTAAAAGTACATGAAGGAGGTTCTCTAGCAAATATGTAGGATGAACAAGCTAAAAAAATCTAATGTACAACAAGAGGACTATAGTTAATAAATAGTACACTGTATTCAAGATTTTTGATAAGTTATAGCTACTTGTTGCCATATAAGAAAAAAAAATGGATAACTATGTGAGATGATACATATCTTCATTTGTTCTTCTCTAGTAACAATTTTACTATCTTATAACATCATGTTGTATACGTTATATATACACAATAAAATACTTTAAAACAAAAACAAAAGTACACAAAGGAGTTTCTGATAGTCACTAATCAAAAGCATCTCCATTACAGGAGTCATTTTTGGATGATGTTCTGAGAACCAGATAATGTTAATATTAAACCATCTAATGCGGTTGAACGAAAGAGTTGTTTTCGTGCAAACACAGGCATCCTAGATCAAAGGAACTGAATGGAAAGTCCAAAAACAGTGTTGTTATTTTAATGAACTTATTTGATAAAGGAGGTATCATATATAAATTCCTTCCCGCATGGACCTAGCAAATGGAGTTGGAATAATGGGCTAGCAATTTTAGGGCTGGTGTGAGATAGGAATCTAAATTAACTTCATCTGGGTTGAATTCAGGGCTTTTGTTTATTTCTGTGATTTGATTTTTAAAAAACTAATAGATGTTAAAAACTATTTGCAATGCCTTCATGACATCCCAAAGGTAAAGCCACTACCAGCCTACTAAAGCCATTGAGAGCTCAGAGAAGCACAGGCGTCAGTGTGCACTCTTCATGGGTCATACTAGTCCCATTGGTCAGTGAGACCTGTCCTCCTCTGTGAGGCCTGCACCCCTCTGTGGTGTGTGTGGCATGCTAGCTCTCAATGGGAAAAGCAGTGTCTCCTCTGGTCAACTCCAATCTCCAGCCCCATGGCCCAGTCCTTTTCCATCCCCTGGACTATGGTCTCCTACTACAGCCCAAGCTCAGTTCCTGCTAACACCCAGGGAGGAGGAGGGTTGAATAATAATGGCAATAACTTGCCCAACATAAAAGTGATTTTTTTAAAAAATCACATAAACAGCTATCTTCCAACGAGTACTGTACGAAAAGGGAGGGGGAGAAGGGTAACTTTACAGTGGAAAAACCCAACAAATGCTACCTTGTGCCACGTGACCACGTTCAACATCGGTAGTGCTAAGTCACACTGATATAGTAGACCTTTGCTATGATGTGACAAGCATGGCCCTTTCCATCTGAGGTCTTCCACCCAAAAACACATGACCACAGTCAAATCATGAGGGGGGAAAAACAGACCAATCTCAACCGAGGGCCATTCTACAAAGTAACAGATAGTACTCATCAAAACTATCAAGGTCACCAAAAACAAGGAGGGTCTGAGAGACTGTCACAGCCAAGAGGACTCTACGGAGACAGAAAAACTAAATAAATCTGGATAACGTATGAACTGTAGTTAACAATAATGTAGCCATATTGGATCATGAATTGTGACAAATGTGCCATGCTAACTTAGAATATTAATAATAGGGAAAACCAGGTGTGCAGTACCCAGGAACACTCTCTACTACCTCCTCAATAATTCTGTAGGACTGAAACTGCTCCTGACTAATCGGTTAATCCCAATCACAATTACTTTTTTTTAAAAAATCATATAAACATTAAACTTTTGGACAAAATAAAAATGTATAACTCTAACATAAAGAAAAATTGTGGTCTGGGGAAAGTATCTATATGAAACATAACAAAAGATTAGTGTATATATAATTTAAAGTCCATAAGTATGCCAAGAGAAACATTCAGAGAAAAGCTATGAGACGAAAACTAGAAGTCATACAAAAGATGCAATGCACTTTTTAAATAATTTTTTAAAATACTAAAACAGGTATCATTTAAGTTGCAAAACTGTTTTTCTTTTTCTTTTCTTTTTTTAAAGTACTTTTTTTTTGAGACAGGGTCTCACTCTGTTGCCAGGCTGGAATGCAGTGGCGCGATCTCAGCCCACTGCAACCTCTGCCTCCTGGATTCAAGTGATTCTCCTGCCTCAACTTCCCAAATAGGTGGGACTACAGGCGTGCGCAACCATTCCCAGCTAATTTTTGTATTTTTAGTAGAGACGGGTTTCAACATGTTGGTCAGGATGGTCTCGATCTCTTGACCTCATGATCCACCCGCCTCAGTCTCCCAAAGCACTGGGATTAACGTGTGAGCCACCATGCCTGGATACAAAACTGTTTTTCAAATAATACCCAGTGATGATAATGCGATAGTTCAAACCACTTTACTTAACACAGCATTGGTAGCCAAGTAAATTGATAATACTCTTGTGGAAGTACTGTAAAACAAACTGTACTCCCAGCTCCCACCTGTACATGCACATGTTAAAGCTCAAACTCCCAATGTGATGGAGTTTAAAGATGGGGCCTTTGCGAGACAATCAGATTTAAATGAGTTCAGGAGAGTGGGGTCCTCAGGATGGGATTAACACCCTTATAAGAAAGGACATCAGAGAGCTTTCGCTCTCACTCTCTCGACCATGTAAAGACATCTCAAGAAGGAGGCAGTCTATAAGCCAAGAGGAGAGCTCCCCCCAGAACCCCAACCATGCTGGAACCCTTATCTCAGACTTCTAGCCTCCAAAATGGTGAGAAAATAAATTGTTGTTGGTTAGACCACCCAGGCTGTTGTCTTTTGTTATACTCACTGAAGTTTATTAATAAAGAAAGGCAATTAGAGGCATATACAGAACAATAAACATATTTATCTCTTTTAATTCAGTAATCCTACATTTGTAATGATAACCTTTGGAAATAATTCAAAATGTGACAAAGCTATACACATGTAAAAACTTAGTTTTATGTTTTTAAGCCAGTGACATGCTAAATGTCTAACAATGGAGAAGCAGGTAAGTAAATTGTAATATTCCATTTCATCTAATATGATTTAGTCATTTACAATTATTGCAAAAACTATATAGGCTTACAGTGAATGCTTTTAATAAAATTAAGTGCAAACTAAACACGAAAGTCTACAAAATGAGACTAATGATATAAATATGAACAAGTATTAAGAGAGTTAGCTATAAACAAATAATTTGTTGGGAAATTTTGTTACAAGAAATCATACTCAGAAACCTATTTGAGAGTATTATTAGATAAGATGTTTTCTTAAACGTAATCACAGCCCTCTTTAATTATAGAAAAGTGATTTTTTTTCTGAAAGTAGCCACTGCAGTACTCTCCAAAAAATGAGAATGAGCCAGGTGCAGTAGCTCACACTTATAATCCCAGCACACTGGGAGGCTGAGGCAGGTGGATCACCTGAGGTCAGGAGTTTGAGACCAGCCTGGCCAACATGGCGAAACTCTGTCTCTACTAAAAATACATAAATTAGCCGGGTATGGCAGGTGCCTGTAATCCCAGCTACTTGGGAAGCTGAGGCAGAAGAATCACTTGAAGCAGGGAGGCGGAGGTTGCAGTGAGCTGAGATTGTGCCATGCACTCCAGCCTAGGCAACAAGAGCAAAACTCCATCTCAAAGAAAAAAAATGAGAATGAAATATGTACTTTTCATGTAAGACAACTATCATTTTTCTTTACTACATACTTTCTATTATGTTATTATTATGTTATTACTTACATTGAGATGGTTTCCAAGGCATCTTCAAAAATGTCCTGGGGGAAACAAAAAATACAATGAGTTTCTCAAGAATTCTAAATGGAGAAGAGAAAGTGAATACACACAACGGGAAGGGTGGTCCTGATGGGAAGGTACAGCAGACAGTAGAATCAATCAACATAATGTTCATGGAATTCTGTTTACAGAAATCAAGCACATGAATTTCAATGAGGTTTAATTTTTTTTTAAGTAATACCGGTAAACTACTCAGCAAGTGATGAAACTGGGCTAATTTACAGAGAATATGACATCTTTTACAAAGTTACCTTTCATTTCCTAGAGCTCATTCATCCCAATCATAGAGTACAATAAATAACAGGACTTGCCCAATGCAGACGTTTCTTTCTCCATGGCTAGCCAAGTGAGCATCCTCTGGGCCTTCATTTCACATCTCATTGCACCACCCTCTCAGCTTGTCTCTCTGTCACCAGCCTTTCCCCAGTTTACTCAGTGCCACACAGAACAGCCCTTTGCTTCATGCCACACTGGCCTGATCACAGCTGCAACAGGAGAGAAACACACACACACACACTTGTACGCACTCAGAAGTCCACACACGCACTCCACATTCAGACACAGTGTCTCACACACAATCTCACAGTCACATGCACAAACACACATGCACTCACTCAAAAACTCACACATACACAACAGCTTCCTCATAGCTGCAAAAATCAACCCTAAGCGCCTCATCCCAGTATCTGGGGGCCACCATAACCCAGCCTACTCTTCCAAGCATCCTTCTCCAATATCCCTACCACTCTCGCCATAGCCCGAACCCTGGGGACTCCACAAGGGTCACCTCACTGTTGTCCCTACTCCTGTGCTTGACTCCCTCCATTCAATTCTTTACATGGCAACCATATCATTCTTTTACTTCTTGTCTTCAAATAAGCATACACCATTCCAGTTTTCTAGACCTCTTTGAGAGCTTTCCATTGCCCTTAGAAAAATCCCAAACTCATTCTCCCTGTCTAGAGAGCCCTAAAACAGCCCCGCCAGCCTCTGACCACATCCTCGCCCATCTTCCCCTTACTCACTCCACTCCAGCCACAGATCTGTCTTTCTGTTCCTTGGACAAGTCAAACATCCCACAGCTCTCTGCACTGTCCCCTTTCTTACAATGTCCTTTGCTCAATTATTCCCATGGCTGACTCCTTATCATCCTTTGGTTTTCAGCTTAGAAATCTACCTCCTCAAGAAGACCATCTCTGATCACCCTAATTAAAATTACTAAGAATAGCAGCTTACAGTTCCTTATCATCTCTTTGTTTCATTCATAGCACTTATCATAATCTCTAACGATCTTCCTTGTTTACTTGGTTACCCTCTGTCTTCATCAGAGCAGGCTCTTACACACACACACACACACACACACACACAACAAACAGGGCTTGACATCAAGGTTTGCTCAGTAAATAGTTGTTACCTCATGAATGAATGAATATGTATGAATGGAATGTATGAATGGAAACTGGATTGCCAAGGGACTTGCCATATCACACCTCTTTTAAAGTTATGCACAGAAATAAAGAAAGGGGGCTAGAGATCTTTTCCTTTGTGTGGCCATTAAGACTGAACGGTGTTTAGACCATACTGGATTTTGCATTGAGGCCGAAAAAACAGAAGTATAAACATTAAAAGAAGGCTGGGCAAGGTGGCTCATGCCTGTAATCCCAGCACTTTGGGAGGCCAAGGCTGGTGGATCACCTGAGGTCAGAAGTTCAAGACCAGCCTGGCCAATATGGTGAAACCCTGTTCCTACTAAAAATACAAAAATTAGCCAGGTGTGGTGGTGCATGCCTGTAACCCCAGCTACTTGGGGACGCTAAGGCACAAGAATCACTTGAACCCAAGAGGCGGAGGTTGCAGTGAGTCAAGATCATGCCACTGCACTCCAACCTGGACGACAGAGTGAGACTCCATGTCAAAGACAAAGAACCGACACTGTAAACAGTGGCAGAACTGAGTTTGAATTTGGGACCCTGACCTATATTAATCTACATTAATATCACACGCTGTAAGGAAGGTAAAATCAAGGGCTGGCGCACAGGTTATCACGTGAGTAGTTACAGAGAAGGGAGGAAAATGTGTTCTCCAGTAACCCAAATCTCACTATGAATAAGCCCAGCTGACAGTCCCTCTGGCAGCTCTGCTGATGCCCTCTGCACTTACCTTTAACAATAAAGGGGTACATGGACAGTCCACTCCCAAAAGCCTTCTGCGCCTTCTTCTCCTCACAAACCTCAACGTGGACACTAAAATACTTACTGAGTGAGCTCCACAAAGGATAACCTGGGAAACCAACCCTCCATGTAAAGGAGACAAGACTAATATTTTCATCTCAACAAAAAGTAGTCCCACCCCTCCATCAAAAAAAAGAAAAAGAAATAAAAGAATATCAAGCCAGGTATGGTGGTGTACACCCATAGTCCCAGCTACTCGGGAGGCTGAGGTAGAGAGATGGCTTGAGCCCAGGAGTTCAGCCTGGACAATATAGTGAAACCCTGTATCTAATAACTTTTTTATTTTAAAAAACATCAACAATATCAAAACTCTCCATTTTGTTGAAACAGTAATCACATGGAGAGAGTTCTCTAAATAAAGCATACTTGGTCTACAAGGGCCAGACAAAAGGTGGAAGTTTCTTAATTTTAAAAAGAGGAAAGGTGAAGAGAAAAACTAAGATTTGCTGAGTATCTATCACATGCCAGGCACCTTATAACCTTACAAAATCCACCTCATTTGTTCCTCCCAACACACAGCAAGTTAATCCAGTTGTAGTTTAATCACCTGCCCATTATCACACAGCTGGTAACTGAAGAAACTGGGCTTCAGTCTCAGGTTTAATTCCAAAGCATTTCATTAATGTTAATAATAACTATCCAAAACTTGGAAATTCAGACAGTTGGGCAGGATGGGGAGGGGGTGGGAGATGAAGCAGGGGGCATATCCTCTCAATGTCATGTGATAGCATTGCTTTACAAGCCTCCCAAGAATGATTGAACCCTCTAGAAGGGTATACTTGTGTTTAATTTTGCCATCTGCTGTCTGGAGTCTGCACACTGTGAAGTTACATGTTAACTTATACATAACTAACATGTTACATGTTAACTTTTTCACCACTAAAAAACTTACAGGTTTCTTAGTGGTGAAAAAAATTACCTCAAAGATGATGATTTTGTTGCTCTGTGAGAGAGCGTTCCCAACCTTTTTGGTACCAGGGACTGGTTTCGTGGAAGACAGTTTTTCCACAGATGGGAGAGGGCAGTGGGGAAATGGTTTCAGGATGAAACTGTTCCACCTCAGATCATCAGGCATTAGATTATCATAAGGAGTGTGCAAACTAGATCCTTCACATGAGCAGTTCCCAGTAGGGTTCGCACTCCTGTGAGAGTCTAATGCCACCGCTGATCTGACAGGAGGTGGAGCTGAGGTGGTAATGTTCGCCCACCCACCAGCCACTCACCTCCTGCTGTACAGCCCGGTTCCTCACAGGCTACAGACTAGCACCAGTCCACAGCCCAGGCACGGGGGACCCCTGCTTTAAGGTATTACCCACCTTTATGCATAACCTAGCAATCTTAATTTAACGTTGTTCCTTAAACCTATAAATACTAGTTCCTCAAATACTGTTTGGATCAATTTACCCTTTCACTGGTTTCCTACTTGGTGAATGACATAAAATTTTTGAGATGTTCATTTTATATCTTTATGAGAGTCATATTTCCAATTCTGGGAAATTATACTTGGACAATGGATATCACTAACCACTCCCTCCCTGTAAATACAGGGCCTGCAAATACAATTTCCTGCCTCCTTGGGAAAAGTGATGTGGGGTCCACGTGGAGGACAAAAACACCAAAAGGCCGAGACTGCTCATGCCTCTGTTCCATATCCCTATAGACCGTGCTTCTTTTTCCTCCTGTCTGTCTAGGTCCCCACACTCCGCTCAAATTCTATCCCTTTTCTGCTGCTGCCTCAGGGAGCTCCTTTTCCTTGTGTAAGATTTCTATCAGGGCCCTCAGGTTTGGCACTGGCTGCTATTCCACAGTCTCCCACCTGGCCCTCGGTAGACACATACATATATTCTCCATGCAGCATGACTAGGTATTTCCACCAAAGCCTCTTTGCTTCTTCATACTCACCATCAATTTCCCAGTGCTCCTCGGTACTTCCCTTAGCTCCCAGAACTGGCAGGCTCACCATGTGCTCTCCAGTTACAACAGGCACAGTCAGAGGAGCATCCAGACTCCTTCTGATGTAAGGAAAGTAAGACAGGAGAGCTCACACTGCTGACAAATATAACGTGTTCACAGGAACGTCCTGCTGTTTAGTTCCCTCCTTGAAGGCAGCTGCATTTGCCTGCCCCACTCCCATGCCAGGGGTAGCCTTGAAGTGCTACAACTCTAGGGTCTGGTGTGACAAATGTTTTCCTTGAACCACACCTGGCTCCTAATCATACACTGCCTCAAAACAGTATCTAAGTTTCCCAAAAGCCTATCTTGACTCTAGTTGGAGTCAAGGGCCATTCCACTCTTTATGAATCTATTTTCTAGCCCAGCACAGTACTCTGTACTTCATGGACTCTTGGCAAATCATGGTTAGCTAACTGGCTGGCTGAGCACCCTTGTCTTGAGGTGGAAGGTTCTTACCTTGAGCAGTTCCATTTTGCACATTAGAAAACGGGCTCATCTGTTAGGTGAAGGATTTCCTAGGTGAGCCGACAGATGTAAGGCCAGCACCCAGGGCCTGCTCCCTGCTGGGAGATCAGCCTGAAACCTACCTCTGCCTCCAGATCATAGAAACTGCCACTCTGAGCACAGAACTGACACAGAGTGAGGAAAGTTGATGGGTGCTACATCACCTACTAAGGCTTTTCCAAACAGTTTCCATCTTAACCCGTTAACTTTGACATATTCTGAGTAGAAAAAATGCATCAAAGTACATGTGAGTGACAGGGCAGGTTCTTGAAGTTCATTTAAGGATCTTAATG